TTATATCATTTGTTTTGCTTATAGGTACACACTCTAGAGAAAACTGACATATATGAGTTAATTTCTAAAAATATATTTTACGTTTCTCTCTTCTTATCAGGGAGGGCGGTGCCCCAGCGCCCCCTATGGGCCGGCCGCCACTGGTCTAAAGTGCTCCTACCCTTTCTAAATCCACTCTGAAATGAAGATAATATCCCATTTCTTTCTAAATAATATGTTATTCTTTCTGTAATCATTTTCTCCATGATTTTACCCATATTTGTCGTTAATGCTATAGGTCTATAATGATCAGGATTTGTAGGATCTTTTCCAGGTTTTTTAATTGGGATGATAATTGCTTCTTTCCACCCTTTTGGTAACTTACCCTCCTCCCAAACTTTATTGAATAACTCTAATACTTTACCCATTGCAAAATCATTTAAATTTTCTATCATGGTATAACTTATATTATCCTTTCCAGGCGCCGTTCTTTTACTCTTACTTAGAGCCCTCTTCATCTCATGTATGGTAAATGCCTCATCTAGAGGACTCTGAGTATTTAATCTTTTTTCAAGTACCTCCGGAAATCTATCTAACGTTTGTTGTCTTCTTACTTTACCTACTTCTGTCAGATTATCTGAGCTATGAATCTTAACAAAATTCTTTACCAGCATTTCTGCTTTGTCTTTATTCTCCCACGCTGCTTCTTTCCCTTTTTTCAACACTGGCAGATCCTTATCGTGTCTAATTCCCCTCATTCTTTTAATCATTCCCCAAACTTTATCTAGTGGTGTTGTTCTTCCAATAGTACAACAGAAGTCTCTCCAATAATTCTTTTTTGCCCTTTTAATAACCTTTCTAACTATTGCCCGTGCCCTTTTATATTCTATCAAATTTGACATTGAATGATTTCTTTTCAATTCTCTAAACTTTTTATTTCTATTTCTAATAGCTTCGGAACATTCATTGCTCCACCATGGTACCATTTTAACTTTCTTTTTACTTTTACTCTTACCAATTGCTTGTGATGCACCATTAGATATAGCTTTGATAATACTTTCATTTAATTTTTCCACCTCCCTTGTCATGTCAATCTTACGTACCTCCTCATCACAAGCTCTTGCAAATTTACTCCGATCCACTTTATCCAATTTCCATCTTTTTACCCCATCAAGTTCAATCCTGACATTTTCCTCAAAATTAATTAAAATTGGATAATGATCACTTCCAATACTATTATCATTTTGCACTTCCCACTTACTCCCACTTGCTAACTCACTTGACACCAATGTTAAGTCTAACATTGACTCTACTCCGTTACTTATATTGACCCTAGTGCCTTGTCCATTATTTAAACAAACCAAGCCTTAATCTCCATTAATTCTTCCAATAACAATCCATTATAATCCGTAGTTTTTCCACCCCAAAGTGTATTATGAGCGTTAAAATCCCCGCACCATATTATTTCGTTTCCTCGATCAATCTTTAATAAATCTTCAATCTTCATTCTTTTACATGGATTATACAAATTTACAATTACTATATTTCTTTTATTCACCCAAATCTCAATTACCACTACCTCTATATCAATACTATGAGTCATTTCAATTCTCCCATAAGAAATACCTTCTTTAACGAAGATGGCACACCCCCCCCCTTGACCATTATCTCTATCCTGTCTTATAACTTTATACCCTCTAACAATATAATCCAGTTGTGTTTTCAACCATGTTTCTTGAATACAAATAACATCAGGTTTTACTTTTAGCTGTTGTACATACCTCTTAAATTCTTGTCCATTCGCTAATAGGCTTCTGGCATTCCATTGAAGGATAAGGAAACCTATTTATGAACTTAATCACTTCCCTGAGAGATTCCTTCATTAGTTACCAACATTTCATATATTTTATCTACAGTCATATCATTGATCCCCAAATAATTTTTAGCTGCCTCCACAATAGTCCTCAGCCGAGACCTTTTTTTTGTCTGCTGCATTGCTACATTCACTACCATACCTATGAAAGCTACAAATTTATACTTATCTACCAATAAAGTATCGTCCTTTACTTCACACTTATGTGAACACTTTATGGCACTCATGTTGTTCATTTGCTGAATTTCAGGGAAGTCCTTTGCTGAGAATGTGTTTTGATTCATCGCTTGAGAGTCTGCAGTCACTCCCAATGTGACTTGCTTTGCTGCTTCAGCATCTGTTACTTTGTTCTGTATTTTATATCTCTGGATTTCTTTTGCTTTTTTTTGTACTTCACATCCCTGATATGCTGCACTATGTTCTCCCCCACAATTACAGCATTTAGTTTTAGTACCTTCTGGGCATTGTCCATATTCATGTTCTCCTGCACACCTGGCACATCTTGGTTTAGACTTACACTGATCAGCTACATGGCCCATTCTCTGACACTTAAAGCAACGTAATGGTTTAGGTATGAATTCCCTCACATTAAAGCACATGCATCCAATCATTACTTTTTGTGGCATATCTCCCTCAAATTGCAACAATACAGATAGACTATCCACAAGTTTCCCCTGATATCTTGTTAGAAGACGCTTCACTTCTGAGACTTTATTTCCTTTAATTTCTTTCTTAATTTCTTCAGTACTTATATCCACTGGAACTCCACTAATTACACCTCTACTCCTACGATTTTCGCCAGGAATATGACTTTTCACTCGCACTTCATTCAGTGTTTTCATTTTCAAAATCTTTTGCTGTTGTATTTTATTGACTGCTTCAATCAACATATTGCCTTTACTCAAAAATCTAGCTTGTTTAATGTGACCAATTTCATCATGAATTGCCTTAGTAAGCTTTACCGGATGTAACTTGCTACTAGATTTTTCTCCAAACTCGATCACCACTTTCCATTGCTCTGTCGTATTGGCTTTTTTTACTTTTTTCAATTCATTCTGTATCTCTGCCTCACTGTGACTTGATTCAGAAGTCTTCTTCCTAGTTCTCTTTGAAGTAACCTCTTGCCACTCTTCTCGTTCGTCATCAGATTCACTTGCCATACTCTCTATATTTCCAGAAAGTTCTTCTCCTGTTCTTAAAGACGCCATAGTCTCCCGATCCCTCGTCCTCAGTCTCGAGCGTGACCTGTCGGCAGCCATCACTCCGCAGCGCAAGGAGCTCGTCTCACGAAGCCAAGCCGTGGTTCAGACCCTTACTACAGCCATCAGTCCACCTATATATTGTTATCCCCGCCTTCTCAATTTACCCTCAGCCAATCAAATTTCAGCCATCATGGCTTGCTCTATAAGACAGCTGGGTTTGAGGCGGGCCTCCTCCTTTGCAAAGTTCCAAGATGGCTTCTAAAAAGGAAACACCCACAAAGGTAACAAACAATTCAAAAAACAAAAGGATCACATACACACACATTCTAGAGCCTGAACATTACAGAAAATCGTATTGCTTCTTAACAGAGTGCTGTGACATCATTATGGTCATTAGAGGAAGGGTGTTCATTACTCCTCCTTAAACTGTTTTTTAAAGGTCAGTCTGATGTTCTCTGTGTCGATAGAACAGCTGATTCTATTAATCAACAGATTCAAGCTCCTGATGAAAACATTAGCATCTATTTAAATGGCAAATCTGAAGAAATCAAGTGTGTTGCCAAAGCAGGAGGAGCCTGTCCTCTAGTGGTCAGAGGAGGAACTCCATCCTTCAGAAAAGTTTCTGGTTTATCAGTGAAGCAGGAAGAGAAGCAGAGTTAGAAACCATCAGCAGCTCAGGATGAAGGTCTGTTATACTTTGATCTGCATCCTCTTCCTCAGTGAGTACATTATTTTATTTCTGTTCTCAGTTTTTCATCCTTTCAGTTCCTTCAGTTCAACAGTGAGTTTTTCTACCGTGTTAAAGGTTGAATCTAATCATAGCTTTAACTGCATTCTGTTGGTTTGTGTGCAAAACTATTGCAAATGACTCCAAGGTTGAATATTCTCTTTTAGGTTTTTCAAATAATTTTTCAGTTTGTAAACTAGTAAATGAAAAGCATTTTATATGTTTGTGTTATGTTAGTTCCTTTTTGTTCTAAAAATAAATGCTATTTCATATCTTTTGAGCTCTTTCTAAGAAATATTATGTGTGTTGAACATTAGTCTCGATGTTTTGATTTTGATGCAATTTTATTTTTGGATACAAAGACTCTAAAGGAAAACTAATCATCAGCATGATGTGGAATTGCAGATAAAAACTATTTTTACATTTTTATTTGCTCCTCAGTTGGAGATTCTTTGAGAAGATAAAAAATTAGAAAGATGTTGAGATAAAAAGATGATTAGAGAATTCACTGGAATCTGTTGGAAATGTTGGAATCAATGCACATTTATTCTCACACCTTCACTTAAATTTTTTCAACTATTTTCTCTTCAAGCTGCTGAATCTGACAGTAATTACTGACTGTTTATCTCCTCAGCAGCTCTGAAGGATGGAGACGCTGGAGGAACTTATACAGGAATGGAAGGAACCAACATCACAGTTGGATGTTCATTTAGTTTGTCCAGAAGCAGGAGGTTCTTCTGCAAGGGAAACTGTCAAGGAGAAAATAATCTGATTGATACAAGAGCTAACACAGATCAGAGAGGGAAATACAGCATTCAGTATGAAAAAAAAGGTGTTTTCTCCTCTGTTCTGAATGTCAGCATCATAGATCTAAAACCATCAGACTCTGGACAGTACTGGTGTGGCCTGGGTAACCATTGGATTCGTGGTCTTTATGATAATTTTTATCTGATTGTGACAGAAGGTGAGTTTCCTCCTGAAAATGTTCCTTCTTGTCTCTGAAAGAAAACTCTGCTCACTGACAGCTTCTTCTGATCCAAATGACCTCAGACAGGAAACTGGCTTTAAATAGTAGCTCAGATGTTTTGAACTGATCTAAATCCTCCAACATGTTCAAACTGGGACTCATGCAGACAAACATCTTCATTGGTATCATGATGATGAAATATTATTGTCAGTTTTAAACTCATTTGTTCTGATTCTGTTTCATTTCTCACAGCTTCAACCACCTCAGAACCAAAGTGGACTCTGGAAACTTTTACATCATCATCGTCTGGAACATCAACATTAACTCAAAGCTTCAGATCATTGTCTTCTTCCTTCTCCAGTGAAACCATCAAATCAAGCAGAACATCGTTTGGTCATAAAGGTAACATATCAGTTTATTGTATTTATGATGTTGGTCATTTATAGGAATGTGTTTGATTATTTTATGATGCTGTTAGAGGCCAGAGCGTTACACTGTTTAAGGCAACATCCAGACATTAACGTGCAGCTATGAAGGTTCTGTAATATTATAAATTTAATTAATAAATTTAAGGCTTTTTCAACTCTGACTCATAGCCTGAAAAATAACTATTTTAACCAAAAGTTAATAAAGAAGTTATTTTGTTTTTTCAATCAGAGATTAGTTCTTGTTAACTCAGTGTTTTTTAAGTAGAAATATTTGTTTTACCAAACACAAAGTCAGACCGATATGTAGTATATCCAAATTGGTAACTTCACTTTAAAAGTGCAAATTTAATGTAAGGTTGCATTAATTTACTTAAAAGTTACCTTGAAGGCACACAGGCCTGCTAAAGATGAGGCTTGAGACAATCTCACCAGATTCAATTTTATTACAGTTATTTGAAGCAAAGCAATTTAAAACCACTCACACATTAAAATAACAGTCACAGCTCAACTCCAGGATGGCAGTGTAAATCAGGGTAGTGACCTACAAAAGAACACAGCAAAAAACAAAAAAACAAACAAAAAAAATTTGTGCAAAAGGAGTACCACCACCCGGAAAGTCCACCACCAACACCAGGAGCTGGCAGTTTCTGTCAAAATAAAAAGACATTCAAATCACACATTTCATATCAAAACAGTTCAGTACACAAACTCAAGCAGCAGTAGTTTCATGCATGTAAAAAAAAAAAATAGAATCTAGAAGCATATGAAGAACGAGCTTTTCACTTACCACTGAGCTCCATGTAGTGCCTCTGGCAGGGAGAAGAATCAGGCAGCTTGTATGCGACACCTGTATATATGTCAGTAAAGCTGAGCTAAGGCTAGGCTAACAGAATCAGAGTATAAAACAACTTCTTACCACAAGAAGGCTTGATCAGTGCTTAGTTTTAAGCGCATCCGTATGCAGCTGCCGTGCTGCACCAGCAAACACCGAGGTCTGAACCGGAAGGACAACATGACGACTAGAGGTGGGCGGATCGATCCCAGGATCGATACTATCGATACCAACGCTGGTATTTATATTGAACAATATTCGTTTAACAAGATCGATACTTTTTATCCTCTCTCGCGCGCGCTGACTGCTGCGGAGTCACCAGTTTCCCCATATGTGTAACAGCACTTTGCTCCCCCTCCCCTCTCCTACAGTCACATGGCTCAGCGGCGCCAGCCAATCAGCGCGCAGGCTTAGCTTGGCCTGCCCACTCAGCACTACGTCACACAGACAACCGCGCTGCCGGTTGCTGGGTGAGTGCTCACTCAGACTTGGATGGAGAGAGAGACCAAAGACCCGCCTCCAGCCTCAGACAGACATCTTTGACCCAAGCGTTTCAGTCCTCCAGAGAATATCCAGGTAGATAACAGTGGTCATCGTCTGCAGCACTTCATTATACATCATATATTACTCAGAAAGTGTAGTTAAGACCTTGAAAAAACCCAGTACATTTATCCCATTAAAAATTTTTAGCTAAAATAAGCTAACATTAGATAATCTCTTATTTATTCCACGATTGAGAACTTTATAGAAAAAAAGCAACAGGCAAGTGCAGCTTAAATGTAAAAAGTATCGGTATCGGTATCGATATCGGCGATACTGACCCAGTATTTACTTGGTATCGGATCGATTAAAAAATCCCGGTATCGCCCACCTCTAATGACGACCAGGTGAGAGAGGGCCCTTTATATACAGACCGCGCCACAACCAACTGGATTCACGACTTGTGTGGTGCGTTCAAAGCCCGCAGGGCATACTGCCACATTCCTGTTTAGGTATAAATCTAAGAACTTGGACCATTGTCATCGGTTTAATTATAACATCTTTCAAACCAGCGCAAAGATAGGAATATTTAGACAAAACTAAAACACCTGCTAGAATTTCTCTTCGCTGAATGTTGTCAAGATTCAGTTTGTAAAGAAATGAAATGCAGACCTTGATTGAAGTGAAAAACAAATCAGTTCAGTTTCAACTCAGTTTATTTCTTTAGCACCAATTAACAACATATGTCATCTCAAGGCACTTTACGGTTCAACCAGATCATCCAGTCAAATTCATTAAAAGTTTTCTATCCAAGGAAAACCAGTTGATCAAAATAAGAATCAGAATCGGGTTTATTGCCATTGTTAGTGAAGGAGTTCACAACGAGGAATTTTTTATGGTACAGTCGTGCAACATGAAACATATAATATGAAATAGGTAAATAAAATTATAAAAATCTCTAAAAACACTGGGGTATAAGGCATGCAAAAAATAGACTAATATATACACTTAGGATAAGAATATGGATAAAAAAAAAATATATATATAAAAAGTATAAAAGTAAAGTGTACAAGTTAGTGCAAATAGAGCAGTGTGCAATAGAGCAGTGTAAATGGCACGGGCAGGTTATAGAGTCTGACATATAGTTATGTGTTCATGAGTCTTACGGCAGAGGGGAAGAAGCTGTTTTTATGGCAGGAGGTTCTGGTCCGTATGGACCGTAGCCTCCTCCCTGAGGGGAGAGGCTCAAACAGTCCGTGTCCAGGGTGAGAAGGGTCGGCTGTGATGCGACCTGCACGCCTCCTGGTCCTGGAGACATACAGGTCCTGGAGTGATGGCAGCTTACAGCCGATCACCTTCTCAGCGGAGCGCACTATGCGCTGCAGTTGGTATCTGTCCCTGGCGGTGGCGCGAGCGTACCACACGGTGATGGAGGAGGTGAGGATGGACTCAATGATGGAGGTGTAAAACTGCACCAACATCCGGGTTGGCAGCTTAAGTTTCCTCAGCTGCCGCAGAAAGAACATCCTCTGCTGGGCCTTCTTGACGAGGGAGCTGCTGGTCGACTCCCACTTGAGGTCCTGGGTGGTGGTGGTGCCCAGGAAGCGGAAGGACTCCACGTTGGAGATGGGGGTAGGGCTGTCTGTGAGGGCAAGGGGGACGGTGGGGCTGTGACCTTTCTGAAGTCCACGATCATCTCCACTGTCTTTTGGGCGTTCAGATCCAGGTTGTTGCTGCTGCACCAGGACACCAGCCGGTCCACCTCCCTCCTGTAGGCAGACTCATCACCGTCCGAGATGAGCCCGACGAGGGTGGTGTCGTCCGCAAACTTGATCAGTTTCACGGACTGATGGCTGGAGGTGCAGCAGTTGGTGTACAGGGAGAAAAGCAAGTGGGAAAGGACACAGCCCTGGGGGGATCCGGGGTTGATGGTCCGTGTGTCCGAGACAGTTGTTCCCAGCCACACGTGCTGTCTCCGGTCTGTGAGGAAGTCAGTGATCCACCTGCAGAGGGAGCTGGGCACGTTGAGCTGGTACAGCTTGTCCTGGAGCAGACCCGGGAGGATGGAGTTTAAGGCAGAGCTGAAGTCCACGAACAGGATCCTGGCGTAGGTTCCTTGGGAGTCCAGATGCTGCAGGATGATTGCAATCCCTCACACAAAGCTTGCTTCTAGTGACAGTGGAGAGGAAAAACTCCCTTTTAATAAGAAGAAACCCTTCCTAACCCTCTACAATTTTGACTTACAACCAGATTTTTTACCAGACTGACAGCTCTAGCCTAGATACTACAATTTGTGGATGTAGAACATTGTTGTGCAGTTCATCATTGCTGTTGGGCAGATCTTTTATTTATAGAATTAAAAAAAAACTTCTGTTTAAATGAAATAATGTGCTGCTTTATACAAAATTGTCTCAAAAAAGTTGTGAAAACGGCAGATCTAGTTCAACACATCATATTGCTTAACGTAACAGACAGACAAGCTGTCAAAATATCCAATAAAGGGATGATTTTAAGCAAACATTTCCTGATTTACTATGAATTGTGCATTACACACTCTTAGTTAAGCGCGGTTAAAAATGCATTCTGCACAAGCACAGCTGGAAGAGCAGAGTTTGTCAGAGTTCAGCGAGCAGTACCGGACCATTCCGGATTACTTTTACCCCACCCCCCCACTGCTGCCATCTGTGGTCATTCAGAATGAGCATCGCTGCACGCCACGACCAAATGGTACGCAGCAGCACAGCTGATACTGCTTAGCAGATTACAGCAAAATGATGCATTTTAAACATCTGACAGATGACCTGCTAACATTTTTATTTGTTCTAGTGGCGTTAACGAATACTCACGCCGATGAGTCTTCATGTTTACTTCATCGAAGATCTATGTTTAACTCATCATGATAAAAAGGAGCGTCAATGAAATAATTTTGCCATCGTCATCGTTGATGTAACACTGCCTCCTCGGTCAATCCAGTAGGAGGGATCAAAGCTCCTTTTGGTTGTTTTTTCCCCTAATTATTTGCTCCTCCTACAGTATCTTATTCTCAGTGCTCTCCACCTCTGGTTAGAACAGAAGAAGCCTCTTGGGTGAGAGAACAAAAGTCTTCTAGAAAACTTCCAGTTGCCTTAACATGAACTTTTTCAAGCTTGACCATGACCTGGATGACTGAGAATCTTCACAGATAAGAAGTTAAAGAAAAACTTAGCTTTTCTTCCTTCCTTGTTTACGTTCTCTGAATGTTATACAGTTTTTTGGAATGTAAATCTGGAGCAGATCAGTAATGAATGGAGGAGCCATCCCATTCATCATGCAAACACAAACAATAAAATCAATGCTAAAAGGAACAGGGAGCCAATGGAGAGAATTGGTGTAATGTGTTGATGTTTTCTGATGTTCTTAAAAGAGGAGCAGCTGCTCTTTTGAACTAACTCCAGACTGGAGAGAGATTGTTGGCTAAAGCCTGAATAAAGTGCATTACAGTTTTCCAGACAGCTAGGATTAAGAGTGTAAAATCGACTGAAAGAGGTTAAAAGATTTTACTTTAGATAAGAGACAGATATGTTAAAATAAACATTCTGAAATTCCCTTTATTTATTTGTCCAGTTTAAATTTGTTCTTTATGGT